GTTGTCCCCAGTGGGTCCCCATCACTGCATGGCCGCATGAACAACGTCCCAAAGACCCCAGCTGGGAGCTAGGTGGATGAGAGGAACAGGAAAGCTGTAGTAAACCAGAAGCAAGCAAGAGTGGGAAAAAGTGTCTTGGGTGTTGGCACTTTGCCAAAGGTTGTTGTGCATGCTAGGGGAAAAGGCTAGCCCTAGAAAAGGAGACTAAATAATGAAAAGGAAAAGGTATTAGGTGTAGTTTATCAGAGGAACCTTTGATTCTCCAGTTACCTGATTTGTTTTATTTTCTGTTGGAGGAATTCTGTGGACACAGTGTTGAGCCATTTCCTCCTACCTAAAGCACCCATCTACATGTGGACTTGGGAACCAAACATCTGGGCATTCCACATCTGCACAATAACTGGGGGTGTTTTCTATTCCCAAGAGAAGTGTACTCAAATATCCCTCTTTGGAGGTGTCTTTACGCACTGAAGGCAACAACATTTTGGAGGAGGAAGAGGGCCAGGGTTCCTGTTGTGGTTGGGATGTTTTGTCCCTAAGGGTCATGTGTTAAGGACTTGGTTCTAAGTGTGTCAGGGTTGAAATGATGGACCTTTAATGAAATGAATGTAGGAGCTAGTGGGGGTTCGGTGGGGTCTGGGAGTTTGGTCTTTGACGATACTAAGGTGGTTCTCACAGGACCTTGGGTTAGTTTTCAGGAAAGAGTTATTAGACAAGAGCAAGGCTGAGCATTCTGGAACCTCTGCAGCTATCAGTCTGACACTGTGTTCACCTCTCTCTCATGCATTTCTGCTATTACAGTGTCATGACTGTGAAGTCTTCACTGAAGCTTAATCCCATGCTTTGATCGTATGGAATCGGAAGTTAAATAAATCTTTTGAAAATGAGTACCCAGCTTCAGGTATTTTGTTACAGTAACAGAAAACCAACTAATAAAAGCATTGAGATTCAATGTTCATATTTCATCTAATACCTCCCATCCCACCCTAATACAAAGCTCCGGGTGTCTGTTTCCTGTGGCTTGCAAACCCACTGTGTCTGTATACTTCCCTGGTATTTAGGAAAGGTGGTCAAGATGAGAGGATGATATTCTTAATGTATATCAGGAATTAAGAGAGACCAGGAAGCTCAGTGTCTTTCTCTCACTGAATTCTGGTTCCCCTTGCCCCTCTCTGCTGGAACATACGATCTCTCTTAATAGGAACTCTTTGTGCTTATGTGAGATCAAATTATTTTTCTTGGTATCTCCTCTGCGATTATTTGGCAGGATTGAATAAGCTAAACCAAGAATCATCATGTCTAGTTTTTCTTTCCAAAAGTTTTTGAAATAATCCCTAAATGTTTTTACTCCCATTCTCTTACTCTTACCTATTTTTGCCACCCCACCACTCTTGGAAAGGGGAAGTGGTTACTGTGTGGTTAATCTGCCACATTTAGTCACTGGCCAGTGTTTTCATACTCAGGAGAACCAGTAATAGTTACTTGAGTTTCCCTAGAATATTCTCTATACCCGAAACCCTGTTATTGTTATGCCAGTAAAGTTATTTCTAAATAATTTCTGAACAGCACATTGATCAACAAAGAGAACACACCCAAGAAAATGGCAGGTAGCTGGTGCCCTGTGTAAGAGGCTGAGTGGTATTCTGGAGTATCAGTGTTGTAGGGTAGATAGAATAAGTATGTTCTGTCACCTAACCCAGTGATCTGAGTCAATTTATTCCCTTCTAGGCCCAATTTCTTGGTGAGTTAGAGTCAGTCAGTCTGTTTCTTCCCTCCCTCCGTCCCTTCCTCCCTCCCTCCGTCCCTTCTTCCTTCCTTCCTTCCTTCCTTCTTGTAGCATCTTAAAAAGAGGAAATGATTACTATGTGGTGAATTCTGCTACCAATTTAGTCACAGACCAGTAGGTGGTTCTTGAGTTTATATTCTGTGATTATTGCTATGCACAGCCAAAGGAGGACGGCTTGTGTAAAATCCACATACCTATCACTCCAAAGTCTTGAATCTAGACCTGAAGAAGAGTTTTTTTTTTTTTTTGGTTTTTCGAGACAGGGGTTCTCTGTATTGTTTTGGAGACTGTCCTGGAACTAGCTCTGTAGACTAGGCTGGCCTCGAACTCACAGAGATCCACCTGTCTCTGCCTCCCAAGTGCTGGGATTAAAGGCGTGCACCACCAATGCCCGGCTCTGAAGAAGAGTTTTAAAGACATTTATGGAATAGAACATGGTGTGCACTCCAGTTCTCAGCCCTCTGGTCACGAGGCTTTGGCTCTGGGCTTGCGTTTTGGCCAATCCTAGCATTCTTACATGCTTTTCACCAATAAGCAGTGTAAACTCAGTGAATGAAAGGGTCCAGATCTCTCTCTGTAAGGTTAGAAGCCTAGAAATCCTTGGCATTAGACTCTGGAGGAAAGGGAATGTGATATCTGTGCACTTTCCGTTAAAGCATCCTTACTGCAGATAGTCCTGCTGACCTTTTAACAAGTCATACTAGAGAGTGCATGGTTTGGTGTGACCAAACTGTATAAATGAGAGTAGAAATGATGGCTCTTATGATATGTATGTCCTGTTAACTTGAGAGGTCTAGACTGGTTCAGCCCTCACACGTAGCCTTATATATAAGATGCTCTGTCCAATACAGTCTGAGTCCTGTCAGTTGAAAGTTTAGAAACATGCTTCAGAGAAGTTTTCAAGAGAAATGAGGTCAGCTTGTATGAGTCAAGGAGTGATCGTCTTCAGGCTGAAGCCTGAGGACTGGTTGTAGTGCAGAGACTTTTTCTCTCTGTGTGTGTTAATTCCATTAAGTTCCCAATGCCAAGCCTCACTGTCCTTGAGAGGAGGGGGAGTGTGACTGTCCTTTTGAGATGGGAACCTTCAATTGTCAGACAGAGGAGCAGAATAATTCCCAGAAGGAATGCAGGAGCTGTCTGCCACCTGCTTCATGACCATGTGAAGATTCAACTCCAAGGCTGAGAGAACTGGGAACTGAAAAGTAGGGAGGAAGGGGCCACTGGAGGGATAATATACAAGTGACCAGACGAGATTTGTGCGGAATCTCACCCTGAGCTCCACATGGATAACCAATCATCGAAAACCACATTGGATATCAGAGACCAAGTGATGATCAGATCTGGCAGCACCCAGCCTGGACTCTGTCTTCACTGATGCTTGGGTTCTAACAGAGAGGACTTGGCACTTCACTGTGGGAAATATCAACAGGACAAATGAATCCATGTACCATGTTGACTAAGCAACTCAGATTTAGCCTCCATCTACGCCAGCCATTTTCCTGAGGTGTTTGCCATAGACGCGTTACATTTTCATGTGTCAGACCCCAAGTCCATCTGGGCTTTATTACCAAGGCAGCAGACCTGTAAGTCAGCGATCTTGAGCTAAGGACACATACGAAGAGAAGAGGAGAACATGGATTGCACTCCCCAGACAAGAGGGGCTAAAGTAGAGAACCCTGAGGTTTTCATCTCAGAACTGCTAGCCGGGGCTCCCATAACACCCACTACCCAGCCAACCTCTGAAATAGTCTTATAGCAGTCCCATAACAGACTTCTTCCCGGGGCTATGAAATACATTTTTATAAAACCCTCTTGTTATTAACACGGAAACAAATGCTGCCGGTCTTACTGCTTAGTAGTCTGTGAGCTTCTTGATTTTTAAAAAATGAAAAGACCCAGACATAGGAGCATGACTGTAACCCCAGCCTTTGTGAGGTAGAAGAGGGGAATTACGAGCTGGAGGCCAGCCTGAGCTAGGCTGTCTGCAAAGAAACAGTGCTTTCTCACTGTGCTCTCTAAGCAGCTACACATCCTGTTGATGATGTATGTCTCATAAAACAGAACCAAACTAGACGTTAAAGGACACAATGGAAAACATAGTCCATAAATTAGCGCAATTACCCCATCTCTGCAACACTTGGTTGAAACTGCTCGGATGTTACTGAGTAAAGTGGAACAATTTCCCTCCCTCCTGCTGTTTCCTCAGAGAATTTTGAGTTCTAAACAAACGTTTCACAGAAATGTAGAAATAGGACATTGTTATATGGCAGCCATTGGTCTTTGTCCTCTATCCCCCGCCCCCACGCACTTTAAGACTTGGGCAAAGGCATTATGGATGCCAAGAGGAGTTGTCAGCTCCACACTGAGAACACAGCATCTAGGTTGGTTCTTTGACTCCACTTAGAACTCAGTGTTAATAGCATTGCCTTTTAAAATTTAAAATGAACAATGGCAAAATCTTGAAGTTGAGGCAACTTCATGAGCAATATTTTTATGGGGTGTGGGGGTTCAAGACAAGGACTTGCTACGTAACTGTGGCTGTCCTGAAATTCACTCTGTAGACCAGGCCGGCCTCAAAGATCTGCCTGCCTCTGCCTCCAGAATGCTAGGATTAAAGGGTGCATCATCATGACTGGCAGCAAGATTTGCCTTTAAAGCCTTGGAGTTTTTATTTATTTAGCTGCTTTCTTAGCCCTGATGACGGCTGCCACACAGAGCTGAGTTCCTTAGTCAGTCCTCAGTTTTCTCTGTCAGTGTGTGTGTGAAGGCCATGTGTGTGCTAGCATGCCTCAGAGTGGATGTGGAGGTCACAGTCAACTTTCTGGAGTAGATTCTCTCTACTCGGGAGCCAATCACTCACCCACAGAGACATTTCACTGGTCTTAGTGCTCCCTTCTTGATGTCTCTCTCCAAAACAAAACAAGGTGAAACCTTGGCAGCTAGCTGGAGTATCTGATTTCCCTGTTCTTATCCCAGGGGGGATGATCCACAAAACAGTGTCTTCCTCTGCCCCTCTCTGTCCTCCCTCTGCCCTCCCTCTGACCCCTCTGCCCTCCCTCTGACCCCTCTGCCTTCCCTCTGACCCCTCTGCCCTCCCTCTGACCCCTCTGCCCTCCCTCTGACCCCCCCAAGCTCTACCTCTGCTTTTCCCTTCATGACACCCAAATCATACTCATTCATGAAAATTTTTTCTGCTATTATTGAAAAGTAATTAAATTCTAACATTTTGGGCATGAGATAGCCTCGATTGTCAGTGTTTCTGCTTTAGAAGAAACTATCTCTAGAAATACACACCAGACTTGATGACTGTGTGGAATTCAGACTGGAGAATCTGAGGACCCAGTGAACACGAGGAAGTCAGGCTTCCCAGGTTAAGAAACCAGGGAAACGGTTTGGGGAAGCTGCTGGCGCTGCCCCATCTTCAGATGTTCCTGGGTATCTGACAGACCGTGGCGGTCTTCAGGCTCCCCTAACTAGAGTTAAACTGGACAGATGAGCACTGAGGCCTCCAGGCTTTCTGCTTTTTCAAAGTTGGAGCCTCAGTAGGGGCTGTAATTTTGAAGTGAAAGGATGACCCCTCTGAGTGGTTGAGTTCACTGGCCGAATGTAAGTGATGACCAGTGATCTCTCTCGAGGAGCAGACGGGCCCCATCTGAAGTGAAGATAAGCTTCTGCAGACTCTGGTTCTCCTCAGGCATTCCCATCATGCAAAGGGTGATCAGGCAGTGAGACCCCAGTGCACTGTGCTGTTAGATGACATGGTGTGAAACCCGCGGTCACCATTTTATTCACTCTTCTTCCTTTAGTACCTATACGTACTATTGAGTAATGTAAGTTCTCAAGAGCTAAGTTCCATTAAAGTGTGTATTTCTCATTCACTTTTTAGAATCTAAGTCACTTGCGGGGCCAAATAAGATTTAATTACCAAGTAAGATGATATATATATACCTCCATGTGTTTGTATTTGGAATCTAAGTAACAGGGAGGCAGGTAATTCATTTAGAGATGGGTACTTCTTTGACTTTTTACCTCGTGTACTGAAACTGTACCTTAAAAAAAACCGACTATGGGGTGGGAAGGATTAGAATGTGCATTGTTCTCTGAATCGGTTTCCTTTTTCCAGTGGAGCCCATTTTTGCTTTGAACAAATAGGAGCAGAGTCATCTACTCTGAACATTCCAGAACTGTGGAGCAGAGCCCAAGAGCAGGACTTCAGGCAGGTTTTTTTAGGACTGTCATTGGTGGCAGCTCCCATGAGACCCCCTGCGCCTCAGGCACCCAGCCCAGTGCAGACTAATTGCATCAACCGTGGTTCTGCCTCCACCCACAGTCAGTCATCTCCAGTGCATCATTTGCTGTAGACCTGAAGCTGCTTTTGGTGGCTTGTATTTTCTTGCAGTCTGCACATCCGGAATCCACGCACAAGTACTTTGTTATGAACAAGGCTGGGTGTGGCATAGAGTTTCCTTGAGGAAATGGGCAGGAAGGAGTCCCGTTTTAACTCAGGTTGTTTTCTATTTTTAATACCTGAACTTAACATGGCTTTCTGGTCTTCTCTTCTATTGGAAGTTGAAAACTTGGGGGGTCTTGGCTGTGTCAAAGGCCTGTCTAAGGGAACCTGTCTTGGCACCTTGACATTAGCATGGCCCTGCAGTACCATTCAACTCTGATCTGATGCAGACTGGCTGCATCCAGGCACGTTTCACAAAGGAGGCACAGGTAAGCTGAGTTGTGTGCTGCTACTGCAGAACATTCACTGCGAGCTGCTTTCTTGGCTGGATGGCAGCATTTGATTTTATTCAAATGTATTCTTGGAGAATTTAGACTTAGAGCAATGAAAGTCAGTGCAGAGGATTCATTCCAAAGCTAAATGTTCAAAGACTTATATTTAGCGGTAGTTTTTTGTTTGTTTTGGGTTTTTTTGTTTGCTTGTTTTCATTAGGGCACTATATTGTATAGTACAATTTGGCTATCTTGTGTCCTTAAAGTAATGACTAGACTATTTAGGTATCTCTGAGTGTGTGTGTACATGTGTCTCATTTGTCTGGAGCTTGCTGACTAGGGTAGGCTAGCTGGCCAGAGCGGCCTCCCTCCCCCGTGTGTGTGTGTGTGTGTGTGTGTGTGTGTGTGTGTGTGTGTGTGTGTGTGTGTGTACATGTGTCTCATCTGTCTGGAGCCTGCTGATTAGGGTAGGCTAGCTGGCCACAGAGTCTCGTGTGTGTGTGTGTGTGTGTGTGTGTGTGTGTGTGTGTGTGTGTGTGTACATGTGTCTCATCTGTCTGGAGCCTGCTGATTAGGGTAGGCTAGCTGGCCACAGAGTCTCGTGTGTGTGTGTGTGTGTGTGTGTGTGTGTGTGTGTACACATATGTCTCATCTGTTTGGAGCCTGCTGATTAGGGTAGGCTAGCTGGCCACAGAGTCCCGTGTGTGTGTGTGTGTGTGTGTGTGTGTGTGTGTGTGTGTACACATGTGTCTCATCTGTTTGGAGCCTGCTGATTAGGGTAGGCTAGCTGGCCACAGAGTCCCGTGTGTGTGTGTGTGTGTGTGTGTGTGTGTGTGTGTGTGTGTGTGTGTACACATGTGTCTCATCTGTTTGGAGCCTGCTGATTAGGGTAGGCTAGCTGGCCACAGAGTCCCGTGTGTGTGTGTGTGTACACATGTGTCTCATCTGTTTGGAGCCTGCTGATTAGGGTAGGCTAGCTGGCCACAGAGTCC